ACAGCAAAAGAAACCATCAACGAAACAACAAGAAAGCCCACTGCATGGGAGAACATATTTGCCAATGTTATCACCGTATAAGGGTTTAATCTCCAACATTTATAGGGAACTCATACAACTTAACAAAAGGAAGATAAACAATCCAATCAAAAAATGGGCAAAGGACCTAAACAGACACTTTTCAAAAGAGGACATAAGGAAGGCCAAGAGACATATGAAAACATGCTCAGGTCACTAATCATCCGAGAAATACAAATCAAAACGACAATGAGGTACCATATCACACCTGTCAGAATGGCTATCATCAACAAATCAACAAATGACAAGTGCTGGCGAGGATGCGGAGAAAAAGGAACCCTCCTGCACTGCTGGTGGGAATGCAGACTGGTGCAGCCACTGTGGAAAACAGTATGGAGTTTCCTCAAAAAACTAAAAATGAAACTCTCATTTGACCCACTGATCTCGCTTCTAGGAATATATCCCAAGTAACTAGAAACACCAATCAGAAAGGATATATGCACCCCTATGTTCATAGCAGCACAATTTACAATAGCTAAGATTTGGAACAGCCTAACTGCCCATCAGCAGGTGAGTGCATTAAAAACCTGTGGTACATTTACACAATGGAATACTATGCTGCGGTAAAAAAGGAATTCTTACCATTTGCAACAGCATGGATGGAACTGGACAGCATTATGCTAAGCAAAATAAGCCAGTCAGAGAAAGATAAATATCACAGAATCTCACTCATTTGTGGAATATAATGAACAACATAAACTGATGAGCAAAAACAGATCCAGAGACCGTCAAACCTCAGAGGGAAAGTAAGGGAGGGTGGGGGTAAAGGGGAGAGATCAACCAAAGGATTTGTATGCATGCATATAAGCCTAACTAATGGACAGACACCAGGGGAGTGAGGGCATGGGGGGGAGGGGCAATAGGAGGATAAGGACACATACGTAATACCTTAGTAACGAAAAAAAGGCGGGGGGACTTTGTTAATGATAAACACACTGATGTCAAAAATTTATATGAAGGATTTGAATAAAATGGATCATGAAATAAGCAGGGAAAATCTCTCTAAAGTATTATTTATAATATGTATGTGTAATTAACTATCAATATGAGACATTTGACAATTTTGTTACAGCTCTAGAAGAATAATGTATTCAAGTTGACCAAAAAAACTTACGCATATTTTTCTTATAAGGAAAATATTTATTTAGGGAAATATATGTAGTAAAGATATTATATATAAACCTGTCTTGTGCAAGCTCACTGCCAAATTACACCTAAATCCTGCTAGCACATACAACGACCTCTCTCTGAGCTCCGGAACCCTAAGTACATCCTCATCCATGCTTCACAGTCTCACAAGCAACTCAAACTTAAGATATCTATCTAACACCAAACTTTTGAATGCCTCCCCAACAAAAACAAAGAAACTGAAACAAAATCAAAACCAGGCTCTCTTACAGTAGTCTTTATCTGAATAAAGAGTTATCCTATCTAGCCAGTGACTCAAGCCAGAAACCTGGGGTTCAGTCTTGACCTTTCTTCTCATTTACTCTTCCAACACCCCATTCATCATCAAATTGTCACATTTATCTCTGAATTCTACTTGCCTATACCTCTACCAGGAACACTGTGCACAAGTCAATTCTGACCCTAGTTTGTACTACTGCATAACTTCCCAAATAGGAAGTGGTGGCTTCCTCAGTCTAACCCATTCTTTACAGAGCAGACCAAAGCGCTCTTTTGCAAGATTTCACCAGGTCTCACATGTTTAAAGCAAGAATTTAACCTTTCAGTAATTTCCCATTTCACTTAAAAATTCAAACTCCTAATCACAGTTTACTCTGCCCTGTTTGATCTGGTTTCTGCTTACCTCACTGACAGCATCTAATTTTTCATACTCTCCAACTATACCAACCTTCTTTTTCACAAACGGTTTCTAGCCTCGTGGCTTTCATTGTGGAATTCCCATCTGCTAGTAATTCCATTGCCTGAATTTCCTTCGTTAGTTTTATTTACCATGAGAATAAAACAAGTGGTTATGGTCCTATAATGGCAAAAACTCAGGTTCTTCCTTCCTGAGTAGGAAAAAACCCGGTTCCGTTCTCCCCTACTGTGTTTCTCTTCTGTGGGTCTCCTTTACTGCTCACACAGAACACTTTACTTCTGGTCACCAAATATGTGTGTGTGTGTGTGTGGGGGGGGGGTGTCTTACAATTTAACTCAATTCTAATATCTGGAGATAGTATCAGATCCCACAGATTAAGGGCTCAGTCCCACTACACTGGCCCCACCACCTTCCATTTCACATGCCAGTCCCAAACCCAGATTATACCTGTGCTTCTGACCAACCGTCTATAAATCAGAGGTTCCCACGACACCCTCCTTGAGTTCCATTAATTTGCTAGAGCAGCTCAAAGAAATACTTATGTTTACCAGTTTATTAAAGAATATTAATGAACATCCAGATAAAGATATACATAGGACAAGGTCTGGGAGGATCATAAGTGCAAAGTATTTTCTATTATTTTACAGGTCCCCATTCTAGAAGACTAGAAAACAGTGCTTAAGGAGGCCTGCATAGATGAGAAGAGATGACTGAAGATAAGGGGTTTTGAAAGCCAAAACATGAGGAAACTATACAACATAAAAATTTTTGCTCCATGAGATCTCAAACAAAACAAAGAAAATGTAAACTGTAAATAAATACTGTATAGTAACCATGTGTTCCCTCCTCTAGATTTTAAGCTCTACCAAGAATAGGCATTGTGCTTGTGTTTTTCACAGTTATAACCTTAGCACCTAAGCAGCAGTGTAGCATGAAATTAAGAGCATGGGCTTGCCCTGACTGGTTTGGCTCAGTGGATAGAGCATCGGCCTGCGGACTGAAGGGTCCCAGGTTCGATTCCGGTCAAGGGCATGTACCTCGGTTGTGGGCACATCCCCAGTAGGGGGTGTGTAGAAGGCAGCTGATCGATGTTTCTCTCTCATTGATGTTTCTAACTCTCTATCTCTCTCCCTTCCTCTCTATAAAAAATCAATAAAATATATTTTAAAAAAAAGAGCATGGGCTTTAGAGTCAGACAGACCTAAAACGCGTCACAAGCTGTGAGAATGTGGGAGTTTCTCAAACTCACTCTGCCTAGGTTTCCTGATCTGTCAAATGTAGACAGCACTACCTTACAAGTCGTTTTTTTTAAAATATGTTTTTATTGATTTCAGAGAAAGGAAGGGAGATGGAGAGAGGGATAGAAACATCAATGATGAGAATCATTGAGCAGCTACCTCCTGCACACCTCCTACTGGGGATCAAGCCCATAACCTAGGCATGTGCCCTGACAGGGAATCTAACCAGGACCTCCTGGTTCATGGGTCAACACTCAACCACTGAGCCACACCAGCCAGGCCTTACAAGGCTTTTTAAATATTAAATCTAATATCTCAAGTATTTAGTAGAGTGCTTGGTACCGAAAAATGTTAGCTATTATTAATTCTTAAAACAGTGCTTATCAAAGAAAATATTTGCTGAATAAATACAATAGTGACAAGTTATTAAAAACATTATTTATTAATGCTAAGCTCATGTAATTCATTATATTTCCAAATAAAGTTTATAATTCTACAAGGAAGCTTCAGTTTTATTCATGTCCATGGCACTAAAGTTTCTTACAGCCACTATTTAGTTGAATTATAAAGCAGAATGTTCAAAGAGAATGACCTGTGCCTCATTTTCAGGAATAGTTTGTTTATGAAGTTGAATTTGCTCCAAACCAGGGCTTTCGAGAGAATTTTGGCAAGTGTTACAAACTGAGGCAGTTACATTATACCTTGCAGACTGATAAAAGCTGTAGTATTCAAGTCTATTTTCCCCTGAGTTTTCTGGTGTCTTTAGTTTTTGTTTAAATTGAACAACTTTGTAGATCAAAAACACGATTAAAATACAAGCTAAGATAAAAAAAGCTAGCAAAATGTCAAAAGCCTCACTTAACCTTTCAACTTCTTGTGTACAAATTAGAGATGTCTTCCCTGACACTGAAGCAGCATCAATTGGTAGAGCGCTGGTTTTTTCCAAAGTCAAGTTAACAGAAGAAGTAAGCTGTAATTGCACAGGTAACACTGCAGTAGTCTCTAGTGGATTAGCAAAGGTATTCTCTTGAAAAACTCTACTGATAGGTGAAGTTTGTTCCCCGAAAGAAATGCTCTTGGTATTTTCCAAGTGTTTCCCATTTGTGGTTACTTTACGCCAGGCCATCATTAACGCAGTAGTCTTGTGATGAATATGAAGAGATTTTATAGCCCAAGCTCTGGATACATTTGTCGAAGACGTAACGCAATCTGTACAGTCAGTCCACTTAATATAATGCAATGCTCTGCCACGCATGGATGGGGGGCGTTCTGACAACAGATGTTTAGGTAATGGCTGAAGATGCTAGCCAGTTAGTTGCGAAGGCCCAATAGTTTGCTGTTACATTTCCAAGGATTAGAATTTGCCTGAAGATGAGTCAATGAAGACAATGGCTTAAGGACCCTTGGATGTAAGTCTGTAAGATTATTAAATGACAGATTAAGGATCTTCAAATATGCTCCCATGTTCTCAACTGTATCATTATCAATGCTGATTATTCTGCTTCTGTCTAATTTAATTAAGGTAAATTAAATTCTTTAATATCTAAATGTGTCAGACACATTTCCAAATCATTATGACTTAAGAGCAAATGTTTAAGATTGTTAATTCCATTAAACCCATCACTAGTAATGTTTTTAATTCTTGAATTTTTCAGAAGCAAATATCCCAAGTTGACAAGCCCTTTAAATGCAAAGGACTGTATTGCTTTTATGAGACAAAGAAAGTCTTTTAAGACTCTTAAGCACTTCAAAAGCATCTGATGGTACTTTTGCTAAATTATTACCTTCTAGATACAAACAATCCAAGTTTCCAAGATGCTGAAAGCCTGTGTCTGATATCCTCAAAAAATATTATTGTTGGATAAATCAATTATCCGAAGAGCAATCATGCCAACAAAGTACCACTCCCGAGGAGAGTGAGATGATTTCTTTGCAGATTTAAGTACTGAAACTAGATCATTAAATACTCCTCTTGGAACAAAGGATATTGATTACACTGTAAATATAAATTACAAAGACTGGAAAGCCCCTCAAATATTCCGGGATCCAAATGTTTCATAAAATTATTATTTAGATATAGAAAATAGAGGTGCCTCAAATGAACAAAGGCTTTTGGATATACACACACAATGCTAGCATTATCCTAATATAATACTACAAGAGAATGAAGCCCTGTTAATTCACTTTTATTTATATGAAATAAGTTATTTCAGCCAGGTACAGAAAAACTGTAATTTCAGAAAAATTCCTAGGAATACTTGAAAGGCCTAAATCATGGCAGTTAATTTGTCTCCCAGTGCAGAACTGGCAAACAGACACACGAGCAAGTATCTCCTATGGATTAATAATGCAAGATTATAGGTAACAAGAAGAAAGGGTCATAGGCAAGGCAGAGAAAAATGTAATCTGCACATAGCCCTGTTCTTGACTTTTCTGTTCCTATCAGAATGGGCTATAAGAAGAGAAGGTAAAACTTTAAATCATAAAAATGTTCTTAAAATGAAAGTTTTATAATACCAAAAATTCTGTATTTTATTTTATTTTTATTTAGAAGCAGCCAATAATACTAAGTACACATAAGTTATACTACAATGATAGCATAGAATAATGAGTTTGGAATATGTTCTAGGATTATTAGCACCTCAAGGCCATGCATTAACCCACTGTTTGACAAAATGATAACTCAAATTTAATGAACTGCAAAATAAAATGTTTTCTAAGTTCATTTAAAATATTACAATTGACTATAACAAAAGTGACAAATAATGATGCAGGAATAATGGTCTTTGGATATAATATGTCCCTTTATCAACTTAAAGTCTAATATCAATTAAGTAACATTATAAACTATAAAAACACAAATTCATTACAAAACAAACTCTATTGAAACTACAGTTTTTCACAAACCAAATTATTTTCTGTTTCAGCTAAAAGTTTATATTAAATAAATAGTCTTACCAAGAGCAGAAAATTCACATTATTAACACTCGGCTGATTCAAGTAAAGATTTTCTTTCTAGATCTGTAGAGAGAAATTTCTAAACTCCATTTCTTTCTGTGGCACCATTGACCTCCACCCTTCCAACTTTTTTCTTTTTTTTTTTTTAAAGTCACAGTTTGCTCAGGAAACACCACTCTTCACATCAGTTCCTCCACAGTCAGTGTGTAAAACAGAGGTTGCCATGGATACAGGAAACTGAGAGACAGGAAGTAAGTTTATCTGTTTCAAAAGTATTGTTGAAAGGAAATCTCAGGAACTTATTTTTCAGAATGCAGTTAATCTGAGTTTTCCTAATGCACACAGCTAAATACTGCATAATTTAAAAAAATATGTATTTTTTAAAAGGAAAAACTTGAAAATTTTAAATTTTCAGAATGAGCAAATACTGTATACATCAACAACAGATAGCTATTGAGTGGAAAAAGCAAGCTGAAATAAGATGTAAATAGAGTAATATAATTTTTGTGAATTTTTAAATGCATAAAATATTTATCTTGTTTTGAATACATATTAGAAATTTCAACTTTGCTTTATTGCTTAAAAAACAGGTAGAGCCTGGCCAGCATGGCTGAGTGGTTGAGCATCAACCTATGGTATGAACCAGGAGGTCACGGTTCGATTCCCAGTCAGGGCACGTGCCTGGGTTATGGGCTCAATCCCCCATGTGGGTCGTGCAAGAGGCAGCCGATCAATGATTCTCTCTCCCCACTGTTTCTATCTCTCTCTCCCTCTCCCTTCCTCTCTAAAGTCAATAAAAATATTTAGAAAAAAAAAAACAGGTAGCAAAATAAACAAGCAATTTAGAATAATGAACACAAATGTTACACTATTCTCTATGTTCTAATTTTTCCAAAGAAAAATTGGGGATACTATAATTAATATTAAATACTACCAATTAGTGCCTTAATACAAAGATGTGGCAAAACGGGTTTACAGTTGTAAGTATGCAAAACATAGTTTATTCTTGTATTATTATTTAGAAATTATTGCATGATTTTCCATATAAACAACTGTAGCCCTACTTTTGCCCCACACTATATATTAAGAGTATATGTCTTAACAGTATATAATGATATCAAGTTGCATTCCAAATTACTGACAAAAGTTATCTTTTTGGGAAGAAAAATTGGGGAGAGTGAAAGAGGCCCTTAAATGACATTTTACTACATACACATCTGAATAAGTTTTGAATCTTTTAAGATAAGTGTGTATATATTTTAATTCTCCCCCAAGGATATATTTTCAGTGACTTTAGAGAAAGAGGAAGGGGGAGAAAGAATGATGTGAGAGAGAAACATTGATCAGCCACCTCCCGCTTGCACCCCCCACAACCCATCAAGAATCCAATCTGCAACCTTTTGGTGAATGAGACAATGCTCCAACCAACTGAGCCATCTGGTAAGGGCTATAATGTAATATTTTAAGGTAAGGATTTAAAAAATTGACTATAAATTTTTTATAATATATATTATTTAGTCATTTTCCAAAAAGCTGATTGCTTAGGTTTTCTAATTCTGACTTTTATTAATCTTACCAATAATTTACAATACACTTAAAATATCAGTGATAATATATAATTGTACACTAAAATTCCCCTTTCAATATTAAAGCAACTTTACTTCACATCAAGACAACAATTACTTCAGATAACAATATGAATGATTTCCATATTAAGTACTTTGTATAATACCAAGCACTATCTTTCTATGACAATAAAAAACACACACGGAGGTACATACTGGATAACAGGTCTTTATCAAATGATCTACAATTCTCACAAATATCCTTTGTGGCTGGCTATTGTTTTTTAATTGCATAATACAACTTAGATATATGGGGTTCAGGACATGCTACCCCAAAATGTAGCAACATCAAATATTTTAAGCGAAAGAGTTTAAGAAAACAGCAGAAACAAAAAGGTCTCTCTGTGACCCTCCAATTCCCAGCTACACCCCCATACCCTCTGCCCTTTACCCCTGAAACAGATTATAAAACCTTCAGTGAGAGATGCCCTCCCTATATTGGGAAGAAAGGAGCATCTTTATCTCCAAAGACAAAAGGACTCTGACCAGAACCCAAACAAACAGGTCTTACACAATTCTTCCACTTCAGTACACTTACCTCATACCCTCTGCCCTTATACCTTTCCACAACTTTGCATCCACTCTGCATCAAGCCCATAAAAACACAGAAGTTTAACAATTTCTCCTGGTCTTCATTTCCTTATTAAGAAGCTAGTGTCATGTAAACCATATTAAATTTGTATGCTTTTGTCCCAAATCTGCACAGGTTAATCAATCCACTAATAGTCAAAGTCTTTGTGTCAAGTTAAGAGTCCCAAAGGTAAGTAATGGTGCAACAGAACCAGCTAAAAAATGTACCTACCACAATCAGATACCACGTCACAACCACTAACATAGCTATAATAATAAAGAAAAGATACAATTATTGACAAGGACATAGAGAAATTAGAACCACTATGAAAGACAGTCTGGCAGTTCCTCAAGGGGCAAAACAGAGTCATCATATGACCCAGCAACATCCAAGAGAAAGGAAAACACACATCTACATGAAAACTTATATGCAAATAATAGCAGCATTTATAATAATAGCCAAAAAGTAGAAACAAACAACTCAAATATCCATCATCTGATGAATGATAAACAAAATGTGGTATATCTGTACAAGAAAACATTATTCAGCAATAAAAAGATATAAAATACTGATACATGCTACAAAATGGATGAACCTTAAAAACATGCTGAATTAGAGACCACATACCGTCTGGTTTCATTAGTAGGAAAAGTCTGGAATAGGCACGTCTATAGGGACTCAAAGTAGATTAGTGGTTGCCTAGGGCTAGGGAGAATGAGAGAATAAGGAGTATCAAAGAGTACACGGTTTCTTTTGGGGATAATAAAAATGTTCTAAAACTGATTGTGGTGATAGTTGCACAACTCTGTGGATATACTAAAAACTACTGAATTGTACATTTTAAATGAGTAAATTGTATAGTCTGTGAATTACTATATCTCAATAAGGCCGATAACGCACACCCAAAGATGTTTCTAAGACATTTTTCTTGTGAGAGACAAAAAATTAAGAACTAATTTTTATTGTAGAAAAGTTACTAAAATATTAGATTAAGTATTTATAGATAAAAGAAAATACCATAAAATGCTAAATAAGAAAACATGACCTAGGTGTAAGAGACACATTCTCTTTTAAGGGATAAAAATAAAATTATCATTCTATCCTATTAATAAAAGGGTAATATGCAAGTCGACCGAACAGAGGAACGACTGGTTACTATGAGGTGCACTGACTACCAGAGGGCAGATGCTCAATGCAGGAGCTGTCCCCTGGTGGTCAGTGCACTCCTACAGGGGGAGCGCTGCTCAGCCAGAAGCCCTGAGCCGGGTTCACGGCTGGTGAGCACAGCAGCAGTGGCGGAAGCCTCTCCTGCCTCTGCAGCAGCTCTAAGGATGACATCCCCTGAGGGCTCCCGGACTGCAAGAGGGCGCAGGTCAGGCTGAGGGATCCCGCTGCCCCACCCTCCACCCCCCAGTGCACAAATGTTGTGCACCAGGCCTCTAGTGTTAAATATTCACTTAGGAACAGCCAGTTTAAATCAATCATTATTCAGGTAAAACAACATGTCCATAATTTTAAAACTGTACACTGCCCTTTATTCAACTATATTTAAACTATACAAAAATACTACTCTTTGGAACTTATCTTGATTCTACTAGTCTAACATTTTTAAAGTTACAAAATGACTTAGAAAATTATCTTAATTTCCAAATAGTAAGTTTCTAAATGATGATATTATATATGCTATTCTTGAGATAAATGAAAACTATGGTGAGATACTAAGTGTCCAATCCAAGTAGGTTTAGTAAACCTGATACACAAGGGATTTTATTAAAAAGCAATTTCTCTTGGAAAGCAAGCCATCATACCATCAAAACCTCTGGTGGTTTGTCAATCTTTTTTTGAATTATTCAACTAGCTTATGTTAAATAATCAACATTGATGTATAACACAGAAATCCACACCTGAAACCAATATGATCCTATTAACCAATGTCATTACAATAAATTTAATTTAAAAAAAATACTCCATTGGTGACTTCTTTAATCTAAAAAAAAAGTGAAATTTAAAATTCTTAAAATACTTGATCTCTGAGAAACTCATTCACAACTGAAATTCTTAGAACTGCATTATAAAAAAAAATGTGTTCTTAAAGATGGAGGATGAATTGCTATTTTAGAGAACAGATCAAAGGAAAGTTTGATTGCTCTCATCTACAAGTAATAATTTTTGCTTAATATATGGCTTTGGAGGAAAACTCTTTGGAAACCATTAAAAGAGGAAAGTGTAAATTACGTTATTTTCACATAAAAAATTAGCTGAAGAAAACTTTACTTCATGTAGGAATATTATAGACACTAAAAAAGGAAGAAAATTCAAACTTGAAATTATTATAGCCAAAGAAATCCTA